TTGCACCAAAATTAACTTTTAAATAATTACCAGAGGGTGGCTGCACTTGCCAGAGAGAGACAGAGCTGGGTGGGAGGAGAAAGCACCCCCCGAGATGTGGTCAGACCACAATCCCTTCTCCTCCACTCTTAGAATCTGGGCCCCACGCACACATGCCCAGCATGTTTTTCAAGCTCCTGGGGCTGGGACTTGAACCATGATTGGCCATGTGGGATCCAGTGCCTTTAACTACTAGGCCATGGTGCTAGTTCAACTCATTCTTTAATTCCTTTTTTTCTCCGTGACTTTTTTGAAGTCCTAGTGTATACACACAAACACATGCACACACGCAAATAATATCTACTTCAAAAAGTTTATGAGGAAATAGAATTAAAGCGTATTTACTTTGGCGGAAAAGAATTTTTAAATCCATGCAGTTTTTTCATAATGGGCACTACGGACATTTTGAAGATTGCTTTTAGGTATATTTACTTATCTAAGCATGAAGGTGCCATGGGTAAATCCCCAAGAAACGACCACAGTTACATGAAGGAGGGGTGTGTGGGTAAATTAGGGCTGGGACTTCTCATGGTGTCTCCGAACGACAGCAATTTAGCAGCTGCTGAAGAATTAAATAAACGATTCAATTCCATGGGGCTGGCCCCCTTATTAATGTTGAAAGCCAATTACAGAGCACTCACTAAGAACCAGGTCAAGAAATATTGGGGAAGGAGGAGAGGAAGACGAGCAGTAGAACTGAGCTCAGGGTGGTCACAGACTCGCTGGGGTGGACAAGAAGTTTAGAGACTGCGTGGAAATAGGTTTACTTTGTCACAACCCTCTTTGTAGAAGTTCATCTCAAAACAGTTTTAAATGTTCCTGTAAGAAACGTTCCCATAGAACCAACGTCTTGTTTCAAACATCCATGTAAATTACACACTGTCCAGAATTAGCCGTCGGCCTTAATCATGAAGTTGAACTAAATCTACAATTGGATTCAAACGGCGTTTCCACGGTGATAGATGCAAGGGGTTTTCCTGAGTTAGCTGGAGTACTGGAGTCACTCGAAATTATTACAGTTTACAGTTCAGAAAAAGTTCTCTAGTGCTTCGGAGGACTTCAGTAATCACCATTTATCATAAAATACATGGAGGCCCCGCCAGGTGGCACGGTTGATGACAGCGAACTGAACTGCAGTGCTGGAGGCCACGTGGTCAGCTGTGGGTTCAGATCCCTGGTCTGGGGGATACCGGGCACATGCTCGAGATCCTGATGAGCTTGAGGGGAAGGTATCGTGGTGTGACAAGACCCTACGAGGGTGCCTCTGTCTGGTGCGCATGCTGTGCCATCATGAACGAAATAATTTACACACGCACATGGAATGCACAGGGTTCCGTGGCTACGTATAGCTCGATTAAAACTCCATTGCGGGACCAGCAGTTAGCGTAATGGCTATGTCGCTGGACTCCCACGTAGTTGATCACGGTTTGTGTCCTGGACTCGGTGGCTTAAAACTCACGCCAGGCGCGTGTGCGTGCCCAAGATCCTGAGAGGAGAACGGAGGAGAAGGGATTGCGGCGTGACCATCCCCCTGGGGGGTGATTTCTCGCTTTCTGTCTCTCTGTCTCTGTCTGGTGAATGCACGTGCCCTATAGCAAAAACCTCTCAAAAAAAATAATAAAATGAATTAATTAAAAAAACAAACAAACTCCATTGCACTGTAGCCAGCAGATGGTGTGGCAGTCATGTCATGGACTCCCAATGGCCAACCACGGTTTGAGTCTCAGACCCGATGACTTGAAGCTGATGCCAGGTGCATGTGTGCCCAAGATTCTGGGAAGAGAATGGAAGAAAAGGAATTGAGGCGTGGCCATCCCCCTTGAGAGTGATTTCTCACTTTCCCTCTCTCTCTGGTGAGTGCACATGCCCTAAGGCAAAAATGTATCAAAAACTTAATTAAAATCAATACACCCTGTCGTATTTAAGTGAGTTACTTCATAGTGAAAACCTCCCGAATGTGTGGGTACAAGCTGGTGACATTTACCCAAATCGTGCAACTTAGCTCCTTCTCAGTTGTTCTGGAACGTCCCGACTAAGCCACTACTGCTCAATCACAGGAACTGTGAAAGCTCCACGTGTTCACAATTAGAACAAGTGCTAACAAAAAGATGTTATGTCTAGGAAAACAAAACAAAACAAAAACAAAAGTCCACGCCCAAATCTGCCCCGCTCTGCCAGGATTGCCTGCTGAGCCTCTGCTGCCTGGCCCGGGGGTCCTGCCCACTGCCTGGTGGGCACTCAGGTCGAGCCACGGTAAACCGAAGTGGAGGCTCGCTGTCCCGCCTGCGGTTTCCCATTTCTCACTCTCGGGTCTCGGCAGGACAGTTTAACCAGCTGTGCCGAATTAGAGAGAAAGTCACATTTTGCTTTCAGATGGGTGCTCATGAGGTGTCTCCATGTAACCCCATGCTATGGTTTGAGCGTCCCCCAGAATTCCTGTGTTGGGGCCAGGCAGTGGGCAGTGGCAACCGGACCCACACGGGAGGACCCGGGTTTGCCTCGGCCCTCCTGTAACCTACGTGCCCACCATCTGGGCGGCCGAGGACAGAGGTGGGGTGGACTGCGGTGTGAGGGCCTCGGCGGGAGCGCCTGCTGTCAATCCCTTCCACGGAGAGAAACACACTTAAAGACAGACCTGTGCTGAGATTTGGCTTACAAGGGTGAAAACTTAATCTGACCGTGGGGCTGAAAGGTAGGACTACTGGAACATGAGGATGAAGTGATCAGGGCCGCCCCACAGGGTCGCGCGTGGTGGGTTTAGAAGGAAGACCAGAACAGACCCGGGCCGGAGCACGTGCCCGCCCCCACCGTGCTGTGCAGCAGAGGACCCTCACCAAAGGCAGCCCCTGCACTGGGGGCCTTTAAACCACAGCTGCCTCAGCCTACGATACCTTCTACCGACCCAGCACGAGAAGGGACTAGAACACCCCGATTCCTTACACATCGGGGCCTCACTGTCAGCGGAGTCTGACCTGGCTCTTCTCCGCTCCATCCCCTCACTCTGGGAGACGGAGGCCTGCTGTGACTCATAATGCACGTTAAGACGTGGCCCCAGCGTGGGGTGCACCGGTGAGCGGGCCGTGCTAGCAGTGCAGTGAGGGGAGGACGGGGCGGGCCTCAGGGCGGCTACCCAACACCACAGCATGGCAGTCAAAGCAGAGGCAGAAAGGCCCCGACCTGCACTTCTCCCCGGGGAGGCAGCAGTTCTCTGCGAGCAGGCCGAGAGACCCCCACTGCAGAGGCCTCCTGTACCTGGAGGACACCCTCACAGCTGAACACAGGACCATCTGAACACACAGGCCTGGCCATGCCCCACCTGCCGACTGCCATGAGGCCGCACCTGCTCCGTCCAATCAGACCTCCATGTGACTGCGCTCAGCACTCGCCCAGCAGCATGAACACACAGGCTCCCACTTTGCTGGGTCATTTCAGAAGGTCCCTGTGTCACATAAAGTCCCCCTAGGTAAGCTGGCGTGCTTCCCTCTGGCTAACCCGTCTTCTGTTACAGGGCCTGGACCGTGGCCCTTGCAGTGGGTGAGGAAATGGAGTGTTTCATGCTACTGTGGCGGGGGGGGGGCGGGGGG